TATATATAATGGATAACATGAAATGAAATTATTTAACAACAGTGAATGATCAGAAGTGTTTTATTTTGTAGCAGATAGTCAGTTTTAATCACGTTAGCTTAGCTTCACTACCTTCATCATAAAAGGACAAATGAAGCGTTTGGTTGGGCATATTTGTAAGAAATGATTCGACTCTGAGTACACTTTTATTTTTTGTATTACGTTAGATAAATCTGTTCATTAAGACGTCTGAAACTATAACATGTTGAAAAAATATTCCCACATTTGAAAATTCCACCACACAGAGCCTTCAAGTCTAAAGATCTATTGAAGACATGAAGATATATTAAAGACACATTGACATCTATTGGATTTTTTTTTAGCATAACATACCTTAACTGAATGATAGAGAGAGCTCAGTCAGGTTAAGTTCAATACATTTTTCATTCAGATAAAGTGTCTCAAACGTGCCCTACTAAACGGTTTAGCAGAACGTTAAAGGGTTAAAACATCACTTTTTCATGTGACACTGGAGCTCTCCACAGAGATTACTTTCACAAGCAAATACTGCTTTGCTGTGGTTCCTGTTATTGTTACCTGCTGTACTACATCGCTCCACTAATAACAGGAAACCACAAAACTAATGTGGACAAATTGGCCTGATCGTTGGGTTAGAAACTGGCAACTCTCCGCCGGAGTTTTAACGGTCGCTGGCAGAGAACCTGAACATTTGGCCTGTTTTGGAAGACTGAGAGGAAACCTGGACTGGGAGGGAAGATATTTATGTTCTGCTGAACCTGAACTTCATTTCTATTTTGGATTTCAGTATGAGTGTTTTTGTTTGGCTTTATTACCTCGACATTATTGACAGCTGTATTATCAGAGCGATCTGTGTATCTGCTATCCAAGGTTAATTACTCCCCTGTCGCTGTGATACCAACACTTTGCCTCATCTATTTTTCCACTCTCTACTCTTTGTCTTCTTTCCCTCTAATCTCAGCCCACTCTTGCTCAGCCGCTTTTTCTAAAAGTCTTTTCCCATCACTCCCCGGCTCTCCAACATCCCCAAGTCTGTTTTCTTTGGACTTCCCTTAGTCCTTTTCCAGTCTCTCCTTTCCTTTTTCATCCATCTGGAGCATTTTCTTTGGACGGTGTCCACGCAGGAACATTTTTCTTTGTTTTTTCTTTCTCCCTTTCCTTTGCATCTCAGCTGTGTTCACCTCTTTATATTTCTTATTGTTATTCCTTTTCGCATCACTTATCTTAGTCTCTGCTTTTTGGCTTTACCTCTCAACCTTCCTCACCTCCTCCTGACCCCCCTCGCTCTCCCGCTTCGTCTCTCTGTCAGCTCTCACCTGTCCTTTGTTACCCATCCTCTTCCTCCCTTCATCTCGTCTAGGTCAGTCTACATACTGTTAAGCTGCCTTTTTGCATCCCTCAGGAACAATCTGACAATTTGATCTGCAGTATATTACTGTCTATTACAAACTAACTTACTGTTAGCTTCCAAAAATATAAATCTATCAGTGCTGCTACTTGATCCAGTCGCTGTTTTTAAACATGACACTTGAGTATGAAATCATTCAGTTTAGAAGACAACCCAGTATTAAGTCCCAACTGTCATTTCCTCACAATATTTTCATTTAAGGCAAAAAGGCTAAATACATATTCACTGCATTAACTCCATCTGCCATTAAGATGACCCCCTAGAGTGGAACATAATAGTAGCAAGATTAAAATTCTTCTTAATTATTTTAATTGCCCATTTGTAATGTCTGTCATTTTCTGATAATGTCATTTAAGTATAATTAAACCTTATAATCATACATATATGCATACGTAAACTTACAAAGACCACATAGTGATCTGTTTTGTTTTGCATTATCATAACCAATAGCCAAAAGACGTCTTGTTAAATTATGCTCTGTAAATTACTTTAAAGGTCTATAGTGTTGGATTCAGAGGGATATATATGGGCAATAGAGACAGAGCGCAACGCATCATAATCTGAAAGCCACGCCCCCAAAGGGGAAACGAGGCCCGCTTTCCCCTCCGCTTCTTCGCTCGTTCGCTGTCATTCTGCCTTCAGGTCTCCTCAACTGAATTACCAGCTAGCTAAAATTATTAGCTATAGCTTGCTAATAATTAGCTAATAATAAGATGGCAAAGGATTATTTTAGCACGCTATGCCTGCCAATATTGCCGGTCTACCTCAGTGTCCCTTCTCCTTACCTTGCTCGTCTTGGAAAAAACATGACGTGGAGATTCTTTTTTAAGAAGATGAGCATTTGGGCATGCTCAGCCATCAGCCTGCTCCTGCTACCGGCACACGATGTTGTTTTGAGACATGCCTCTACATGCTGGTAGACTGATACAAGTGCTAGAGCGGACCGCTGGAATGGACTGCTTGAATCACGGAGCGCTGGGCACAATTATAACAGAAGTTGCATTCACACTGTCAATGCTTTAGCTTAACATACATAAATACAGTTAACTGTTACTCTAACAAATACATTTGGAGGGTTTGACAAAGTGTTCGCTGCACACACAAGCTGTGTCCCAATTCAGGGTCTGCATCCTTCGGAGGACCCGGCCTACGCAGCCTCCGAAGGATGATCCTTCGGAGGCACCTCCGAAGGACGGGTCACGTTGATAAATGGGACAGTCTAGCCTACGGAGCATTTCGGGGTTGCGTCACGACGTCATGACTCCTGCCGCCCGGGAAAGCCCGGGAAAGATGAAAAACATAACAGACAACTTAAGAGACGACACAGAAACATAACGGACAGAGAACTTAACAAACGACACGGAAACATAACGGACAGACGACACAAAAACATAACAGACGATGGAGCCAGAGGTTTTGATTTTGTTTTTTTTAATATATTTTTTGTTGGAGGAAGAGGAGAGGCAGCTCCGGCGACAGCGACACCGGCGGCTTGTTTATCTCCGGCTGGGAGAGAGCTGTGGGGAGGTAACATTAAACCTGTTATTTTAACCCACATTAATGTTCATACATAGCTAGCGTAGTTCGAGGTAATTAATATACCCGTTAATAAACGATACCGTTAAGTGACAAACGCTACATAACATTATATATATATGTGGTTCATGTCATTTAACCGTTACACTTGATACAGATTTCGTACAGGTGCTTAAAATCTTTGAAAATGTTGAAATTTTAATGCTGTGTTTTCAAGATCTGAAAAGTGCTTGAATTTTAGTTTAAATGCTTAAAAGGGCTTATAAAGTGCTTGAATTGAATAGTAAAATGTGTACGAACCCTGTAAATAACCCTGACTTAATTCAGTATTAAAATGTGTCATTAAACATCAAAACCATATTGAGCCAAAGTGGATAGATGGACAAATAAAGCATTATTGATCTAAAGTATAACATTAACTAGCATTGTCTTATTAACTAAAATTAAATAGCTATTGTTGCTTTAATCATTTATGTTCTCCTGTTCTTACCCTCCTTTCCCCATCCAGACGAGACCGATGTACTGCCGCATCAATATGAATGTTCCAGTTCTCCAAATATTTTTTGATGATCATGACACCAGGCGAGATTTCAGGCTGAGCAGAGAGTCCCTGGCGGTGCTGCTGGACCTTCTCCACCAGGAAAGACGACACGGATGGGGTGCCACAATAGAGACCTTGGTCTTTCTCTTCTGGCTGGCGAGTGGGACATCATACAGGGTGGTCTCAAGGGCGTTTGGGATGCCTCGCTCCACTGTTCACCGCATCGTTCATCGAGTTACTGAGGAGGTGGTGGCCATTCGCCACAGGGTTATCTACCTCCCCAAGACCGCTGACGACCTGGCGGCAGTAACTCAAGGGTTTGCAGGGCTGGCAAGACACAGAGCTTTTCTAAAAGCTGCTGGAGCAATCGACGGCTGCCATGTCAGGATCAAGCCACCAAGCGGCCCTGATGGTCAATGCTATAGGAATCGCAAACTATTTGCATCTATAATTCTGCAAGCACTTTGTGACCATCAGGGCCGCTTCATCGACACGTACGTGGGCTGGCCGGGGTCGGTGCACGACTCCAGGGTACTCCGGCACAGCCCACTGTACAGGCGTGCCATCTACCCTCCTCCAGGGTACTTCATCTTGGCAGACGGTGGGTACCCGTGCCTCCAACATCCACTCCCCCTCATCACTCCCTACAAGCAGCCGGTACAAGGTGTGGGAGCCCAGCGCTTCAACAGCCATCATTCCAGGGCACGCTCCATCATAGAGCGTGCCTTTGGGATGATGAAGACGAGGTTTAGGGCCATCTTCCTCCAAGCGCTGGAGGTGCACCACACCTTTGTGCCTCAGGTATGTCATGACACAACAGAATTATTGTTAAATGGTGAATACCAGTACATTAATTAAAATTAAATTACATTTACATTAAATTAATCTTTTTTTTTTTCTTCTTTTCTCCAGGTCATAACAGCATGTGCCGTCCTGCACAACATCTGCCTGGGTGCTGGTGACATCATGGCCCCAGAGGATGAAGTGCAGGACGACATGCCGGAGGATGAGGGGGAGAACGGGTTGGAGGCAGTCAGTGGTGCTCCATGGCGGAACCAGCTGTCTGCAGAGGTGTCTGCCCTGGAGGAGGGTGTCCTCGACCATGATTACCTTTAGAGGGCAAGTAAAATAATTTTAAAGCTATTCCTGTTTAAAGTGTTTTGTAAAGTTTTGTTTGTTGAGGTAGTTTGTGGTGGGTTTAAAAAGTTGTGCAGTAGTATTTTGTGTGTTTTATTCTTGCCTCTCTTTTAAACATTTTTAGTGACATGGCAGCCGTCGATTGCGTCAGCCCTGCAAACCCCGTTGATGGACGATGTGGTGGACAGTGGAGACATGCATCCCCCACCCCTGACATGATGTCCCACTCACAGCCAGAAGACTCCAGGGTCTTTATTGTGGCATCCCATCCAGTCCAGCAGCACCACCAGGGACTCCTGCTCAGCCAATAATTAAACTGTATATATGTTCTCTATAAATAGTAATTTCTGATCTTTTGTAAATAGTTGTACATGTTAAGAATACCCAATAGTTATAGTTATAAATGTTCATATTGTATCTTTGTAAATATTTGTTAATCACAGAAAAAATAAATTACTTGTGTTGTCACTGAAAAGGAGTTCAAAAGTTTACTTTAGTTGTAAATAAGAAATGGAACAGATAATGTAACAAGGTTATAAGATTTTAATTTAACTATATACAATATTTAGAACAGAAAATGGAACAAGGTTACAAGATTTTAATTTAGAACTATATACAATATTTTTAATTAACACTTTAAATAAGAAACACAGAACTTAATCGAACAGAGAAAAAAAACATCCAAAAAAAAAAAAATCACTGTCTGTCAACCATCCTCTCCAATAAGCTGAAAAGTCTCTCCATCCTCTCTCTGCTCTCTCTTTCTCTCCTCTGCCTCCCTCTGCAACCTCATGTCTTCCCTGATCAGGTCTATAATTTCATTATCTCTTCCCCTTCTTCTCTTTCTTTTGCCTGTTGTTGCTGGCCCTGGCTGCCTTTCCTCATCCTCCTCCTCCTCCTCCTCCTCCCCCTGCTGCTGCTGCTCACCCACTGCAGCACTTGGCCCTGGTGTGTCCTCAGGGATGGAGGCAATTAGGACAGGAGGTGCCATCGAAGGCCTCTGTCCTATAACCTCATCCATGAGGACAAACCAGGGCCAGGTGGCAGCAGTGGGCTTCCCGCTGACCCCCTGTCCTGTCCCTGGATCTTTGCATTCCTAAGGGAGAGGAAATGAATCACAACAGCAGCAGTTTTCTTTAAAGTATTTATTTAAAAAGTCTTGAAAAAGGAGTGTTTCATGGACTCAAAAAGAAATATGTTTGAGGTGCTCTTTGCAATGCAATTCATGTAGTGATAAAGAAACGAAGAAAAGAGAACGAAGAAAATTAATTTGTTTGACTTCCTGATGAAGGCTTGATGCTGAAACGCGTCGAAGGACTGTGGTTTTAAGGTTTATATGACCATGCCACGAGAATAAAGGCATTTTAACAACTTTGGGAGGGTGCCTTGGAGGTTTTTTCTACGTTTCTTTATCAAAGTATTTATTAACTTAGGTAAAACAAATGTAGTTTCCATATCATTATCCAAACCTGCACATACTTTGTATTTTTTTTTTAAGTTGTCCCACTTTTTTTTGGCCTGCTGGGGCTCCACCTTTCCCTCCAGGCCCATTTTTTGCAGGATTGTTCTAAACAAGAGAGAAGCATGACAAAAGGCAAACACAAAAAAAATCACATTATCACAGATATGTAAAGATTCACAAAAGGTGACATCAGGACAGACATAAAATTCCCACCCCGACCCAAAAACAACATTCACTTAATGTGATCTAAAGATTATATTTTTTCTTTGTACAGGATTTGGGTTCATTTTAAATTAAGTAACTGTTACATACAAGTATGTATAGAGTACAAATGGGCTATTTATTTATGCCTTAACAGTTACCTCCATCCAAGTGTGGCAGTGTTTTTGGCCCCCGTAAACAGATGGTCGTTTTGACCACGGAGTTTAATGAACTCTTCCGTTTGCTCCTTGCTCCCTACAACAAAATGACATGTAAAGCATATTTTCAGTTATGTCAACAGGAAGATTTGATTGTTCGATATAATAACGATAATAACAATAATAATGCTCCTCAAGTTAGCTATGCATTCAATCCAAACGTTCACAGTTTTACAGCCTAGAAATAAACCCACCGTTAACGTTATTTGTTCAGCTGCACTCAGCTTTGGGCGCAGGAGAGATGCGCCCCGACAGCTCCTATCTCTTGTAATTAAGAGGAGCTAACTGCACATGTACAACTTACAACGACAACAAATTAACCTGATGTGAGGTATACACAGCCAACAACATCTCCACAGTTACAATAAGATATAAGTCACCATCCGAGCTTGTAACATTTCAAAGTGAAGGGTTTTTAGGCTTTACCGTTACTTTTAAAGGCTAAGCTCCTCGTATCAACAGGTTAACGTTAGCCAAGCTAACGTTACATCGCGGAGCTGGCTCTACATTCCGGTGGCTACGTGTTAGCGTTACTAACGTCAGGTATTTTAACAGCCATTTACAGGTTTTAATGCCCCTTGAACTTCTGGCGTTAAGTAAAAATCCGTTACTTACATTTAAAAGTATATTCCGTGCCGGTGCCGCTGCCGCTGCCGCTGCCGCTGCTCAAGCTTGCCGCCATTGTAAAAAGATCCGGGTTGAACAAAGGCGCGCAAAGGATCTTGGGATATGGGAAGCCACGAAGGATAGTCGCGGTGCATCCTCCGAATGAAGGGAAAAGGAGGGAGAATTCGTCGGCTGCATTTGGAGGAGCCTTCGAATTTGAATGAATTGGGACAGCCTTCGCGCAGCGTTGTGACGTAAGGGGCCTTCAAATTCACCCTTCGAAGGATGCAGACCCTGAATTGGGACACAGCTACAGACATACCGAGTGTCAGGATCCCACAATTTCTTCCCTGTTGAAGCCTCACGTTTTATTGTCTGTATCAACTTTTGTCTCCTACAAGGTTCCGTTTTTCTGCTCGCCAGCTGATAAAAGCTAAGCTCTGGGCTTTTATTGGCCGTGCAGCCCACCACACAGCAACTTTTCGGCATTTGGACATAGGAAAACTCAACAGGCTGGAAATGGAGGGGGAAAGCACGAGGGGAAAGCAGGCCTTGTTTCTCCTTTGGGGACATGGCTTTCAGATTATGACGCGTTGCGCTCTGTCTCTATTATGGAATAAAATAAGTATGTTTTCTTTACTGTATAATCACCTGAAAATAAGAATCATAGTGTTTTCATCACTTTAAAATGAACCATTGAAATCTACATATGGAGCAGGTCCTTGTCTGAGAAGATCACCATGTTGCACCGCCATGTTTTTACAGTAGCCCAGAACGGACAAACCAATCACTGGATCCAGAAAAGGCCATTTGCATCTTTGCAGTTATTTATTTATTTGTGTATTTATTTTTTTATGCGTGTGTGTGTGTGTGTGTGTGTGTGTTTTGGACGGTAGTTAGAGGCCCCTCAGCGACAAAAGCATTGAACACTGATTTTTTGGTGTGACACTGCTTTATCCAGGGTTTTACCTGTTCAAATCACCTGGTCCGTATGTTTTGGAGAGGAAGAGACCTCTGCGGATAATTTAGCTCATGGGAAAAAACCTCCTGAACGCTGACGAAATTCCAATCAGGAGAAGTTTCAGGTGGATGCAATCTGCATTCCCCTAAATCTTACACATTGTTCCTTTTACATGATGCTTTAACCCACAGAGCTGTGCAGCAGCAGTGTTCAGTCATATTTGATTCAGTATTGATAGAGGACATGTCTGCAGCTGAAAATCAGTTGTGTTGCTGAGAACAGGAAGGAGGAAGCTCTCCATGCATGTCCTAATGAGAGCAGATAGCACAGAGGGCAGCTGGGAGCAGAGCAGGAGAAGCAGTGGAGCAACACCCAACACCACCTACAAGTTCAGATCCAACAAGCTTGGCCTCGGGGTTAACTCACTAAGTGGAAGGTCTGGGTCATGCTAAGAGTGACTGCAAATTGCAGAGGTTAATGTGCTCAGCAATTAGCGTTAAGCTGCATGAATTCAGAGGGTTGTGTGGGCGTATGTGTTTGGAGGACAATTGTTTAATCATCTGTGTGTGTTCGTTGAAAGAGTTCGGAGCAGTGGTGTGAAAAAGCAAATGAAGGAAAACAGGAATCGTGCGCTACAAAGAATTTAAAAAATGCAGTAAAGTACAAGAGAACATACTTTCATATGTTGAAAAACCTGCATCCAAAGATTTTGACTGTAAGAAGAAAGAACTGAGCTGTTGGAGGGTTTTAAGAAGGAAGTCCACCATTCATGTGAAAAGGACATAATTGGTTCTCCTTGGACTCGCCACGCATGAGAAAATATATAGTTACATGAGCAGAGGAGTATACAACCAACTGTATTAACAAAAAACACTTAAACTCAGCTCAAGCTAAAATGCATGAAAGCTTTATGACATAAAGAAGAATTCTATTTACCAAGGGCTGTTGAATAAGGATGCTGATTACTCGCAAGCGATGCAGGCAACCAGCCTCCACGGGGATAACTGCATGCACAAGCTCCATCAAAACCTGGGCGTAAATGCTAACCGCTGCCTTCAAAGTAAAGAAGCGCAGCAGAGAGGACTCCTTTCAGCTTCAAACGCAGCGATTGCACGTATGCAAAAGGTAAAGTGACAAAGCAGACGAGCTGAAAGTGCAACTCATGAAAGTGACTTCTACATGCATTCAGGACGTGTGCATCTGTTCTCTTTAAAAAGATCCCTTTGAGCATCAAACACTGAAGTTTGTCGCTTTTGTGTTGGAGCAGTTGAAGTAACAACAGTTTGAGCATAATCACACACAATCACACATCACACAATGGATTCTGCCGGCAACCTTCCATCAGTTTCACTGCAGGAAAAAAAGCATTAAAACGTCCATAAAAACCTGTCAAACCATTCTTGCAGCATGAGACGTTTTCTGTGAACATTTTAAAGTATTTCCCATGAAACTAGGTCGCCTATATAATCTTTTGTTACTGCTATCTTTTTTTCAAGCTGACTATAGCAAGGTGCAAACTCTCTAGAGCCAACGTTCAAGCCCAGAGGGGGTTGAGTGTGTCAGTGGTGAAGTGACTTGATAAAGAATTCAAAAGTTCCCCAGAGAACATGCAAGGTTACGTGGTGGAAGTCCTCGTAGCTCTTTGCAGTAGATGGAAGTTGCTCTTCTGTTTCGCACTTTGTCTTAAACTCTTAAACTTATTGTAGTTAACATTATTTTATGCACTTAAGTTGTGTTGAGGTTATGTTGAAGACGAACCCTGCAAGCTGGGAAGAGAACTTTTTCCATCAACTCACAGAAGGCATCGCAGTGTGGTTATGTTGAGTGGACGGCCGCACATATAAAAAAAAAAAAAAAAAGGGGGCTCTGCGGCCATCTGGCAGCATCTCGACTCAGTGCTGCAGCGATATGTGCAGAGCAATCATCCAGATGTGCCAGTGATCCACTTCTTTCGTGATGGACCATGTACTCAGCACAGGCAGAGAGGTAATTTCTTCTTGTTGTTGGGTGAGTTGGGTAATAGAAGCTTTCAGGCACATGAAATTTCTTTGAGGCCAGCCGTGGCGAGGCAGCACCTGATGGCGTAAGAGTGGGGCTGTTGAAAAGACAGGCTGATCTGTTGGTGAGTCAGTGCCGTGACCTACCGCATGAATGGACTCTCCATCAAGCTCTCCTGAGGACGAGCGCTGCACCGAAGCTGCTCCTTTGACAATACACAAAGGCAGAGCTGAGCTGGCAGACATCCCTGCCGATGTGTCATCTGTTCCCAGAGCGATGAGGATTCCTCAGGTGGGCACAGTGGGGGGAAGCTGCATCATCAGGAAGGACGCTGCATGTGAGTGCGCCACAAGGAAGAATGTAAACAAACTACTAGAGCATCCACAACTATTACTGGAATACCGGTCCTATTGAAGCGCCTCCTACTGCTGCTGGTACGACTGTTGATGCCAGTGCGGAAGTGCCTTGAGATACAGTTCCTCTAATGGCAGCTGGATGCTGACTCCATTAAAATACAACACAGTCATTTATTTCCTCAGTTCTAATGAACAGATGACTGGTAATGTTGAAGCTCACTGTGCTTTAATTTTCTCCTTTTATTCAGTGCAGAGCAGCAAAAGTGCAATAAACCCTAAAACCCCTTTAAGGTCCTGTAAAATTCCTGTTAAATGCCAATCCAAAGCATTCCCAGAGTAAACTGAGAGCCGTCCTTTTTCCATCCTTCGTACGTGTGCACACATGGTCTCATTTGAAAGGTAACACTGAAGTTTTTTTCCTCATTAGTGAGCTTCACTGTAACTGCTTCTGTCACTGAGTTACATAAGTCTCAACACACTGAAATAAAACATCTTTGCCTGGATATTTTCTTGAAAAAAGATGCTGCAGATGACGAGAACTGGGAGGTATTAGCTGCAACACAATATAGCCCAGATTCAAAGCAGATAACAATGAAAACAGCTCTAATAAACCTAAATTAATAAGAGGGGCATTTTTTCCCACTTAAGACGACATAGGAGCTGTTTGTGTATCGTTTCTGTACATTTATAACAGTCTATGATGACAGTAAGGGGTTAAATACTCTTTTGGAGGTGAGGAGTGTCACTGACAATAAGACCACTAAGCCTGAGGTGAGGTTGGGAAATCAGTGGCTCTTTAAATACTTCCAAACTACAGGAAATGTGGCTATCGTGGCCATGGCAACAACACTGGAAGCTCCTATTGGCTCAAGAGAGGTGTCAATGCAAAGGTCAGGAGCTCGCCTCCATTTTTACATCAGCCAGTTGGTGTGTTTACATATAGATCAGGAGAAATTATGGATAACGTAGAGAAATATGAACGACCGAATCAATGCAATGACAGATAATGTGTTTTGACTGAATATCAGATTTCAGGGACGTGCACAGACATCGCCCCCCTCAGTAAAGGGATGTGAAAACACCTCTCTTGTGACTTTGTACAGATACAAGTCAGAGTAATGAAGGTCAGACATTTAGGGGACATGAACAGAAGAACATTTTTGAGTGGATGGAGACTTTAAAGTTCTGTTGATTCTAATGCCGGGTTCACACTACATGACATTTTCGTCTGTTACAACAGTCACTATATTGTCTTTCATGATGTGAGTGATGTCATTGGATAATTCTTATCCATCTGTTTTTTTTTTAAATTATTATTACTTTTATTTCACTCACTGTGTCTGTTCGTGTCCCTGCCGAACTGTTTTTGTAGTAACGTAAAAAGTGTCACCAGATGGAAGAAGTTACATTTGAAGTGCCGCACGCAAACTATGCAAGTCGCTGAATCCTCCACAACACGTTCCTGCAAGGGATTCTCTCAACTGAAATATTACAGGTCTTTTAATTTTAGGTGGATACAGGAAGTGTTGAGTGTAAAAATGATGGCGTGATGCATTAAATTTAACAAGACGAACGGGAGAGGATTAAAAATAGAAGTGGAAAAATAATTCTGTTTTTATTGGTCAAAGTGACGGCTGTGATGAAAGAGTGGTGAATGACATGCAAGACTTTATCGGGACGACGTGAGACATCCCAGACGTGACGTTGGTTGTCGTCTACTATGACACGCTACACGAGAT